ACATTGCCACACACCAGATGCAGCTCTTGTAGTCTCAGGGGAGGCCGTGTCATCAAAGATAATTGAAACATAAGAGGCGCCACGCATTCGCCAAAGGAAAAATCAAATGTCAGTCGTTTTAAGCGATTCTTTGCATGGTGTATGAAATGTACCACAAAGTTAATCCCTTCTTCATCTTCCACTTCAAACTTGAATGTGAGGGCTTCCAGAGTAGAACAGCACGTAGTGATGAACTTTGGGTCGTGGAGGAGGCCGTTGTGAACGCGGGACAAGTCGAGATGGTCGAGCGAATAGAAACCTGGCCGTTTGAATAGAATACTAAGCTCTCGTATTGGACGCTCTATTGCAATTAGAATGCTGAGCAGGACTGTGATAGTATCATCAGGGGTTGTTTTGTCGAATGGGTCGGGGCCATCAGGCGTATTCCATTTGTGCAGACGAAAAGACTGGCAATTTACTAGGCGCAGTAAGACTCCTTGCCACCTTTGAATAGATTCTTGTGGAATAACAAGGAGTCCAGAGCGGTGATGTTCCCACGTAAGTCCCGATCCTATGATATCCTCCTCTGTGCCATCGATACTTAATGTTTGGACGAGGGAACACAGTTCTTGATTCCGCGATAACGAGTCAAGCTTTTGAAGTGATGTAAGAGACAGGTCTGTTGTTATGTTTTCGAGGTATTTGCAAAATAGAGGAAAGGTGCAGTCATATATGGCTTTGCAGGTGAGACGGAAAGAACACAGGGCTGGGCAGTCCAGGCAAGCGCCTACAAGTAGCAACAGCTCAGGTGGCAGGGTGCAAATAGAAAGAGAAACGGATCTTGATGGAGTCATAATGACTGTTTCGAGAAGCGAGGAAGAGTATAGGCGCTTCGGCAAGGTCGAGAGGAGTGATATAGTAAGTTGTATACTACAATGACTTTGGCAAAGGACGGAGAACATCCCCGCATCTTAGATTACATCAGCGGGGCCAGGAGATCTTCCTATTTGAGAACGGGGCCTAATAGGGTCATTGAAGACTGTTGGTTCTCAGAAGATACAGTATAGGGTTGTCCCTTTAGGCTTTTCGTGAGTGCATACTTACATACATCCAACATACCTAGGAGACATGAATTAGAAAAAGTTTTAAGTGTATGTTACTCATTTGAACGCGGTACTCCCTCTAAACGAATAGAGAGGCGCACCTAAACTGCATCTTCGAGGGCTGCGATTTCCCAATCCAGCAGTAGTAAACACTTTACCACATCCGGTTAGCGGGGATCCTTCGGTCTAGATAGTCCCATCCTTGCTCACTCAGCGACATGCGCACATGTGGCCTAGGCATTTAGATAACTTTCGAATGTTCTGACACCTGTTGTGGTATCTGATGCACTAAGCGATTTGCTCTGCTGCTGAAATAGGTCTTTTTGAACCCTTCATCCTGACCATGTCGAGATGCGGAATCCTCAATCCCCGAAGAACAATACACACCTTACTAATTCCCTGATTGGTGGACTCAAAGAGAGCAATTCGCGTCTGAACCGGTCAGGAAAGGCTCGCATAAGACACTGGGCTCCAAAAGTGAAGACCGGTTGTATGACTTGCCGGTAAAGACTTATTTTTCTGCCGCTGGAACATGAGTTGTTGACACAGGCAGGATCCGGAGAGTGAAATGTGACGAGACAAAGCCCGTGTCAGTAAGATTCTCTGGCCGATCATATTAAGATGTTATAGTCAGATCTCGCTGACAGTTATGACTCTGCAGTTGCCAGCGATGCTCTTCTACCGGAAGAAAGTGCGATGGCTACAATTCAGTCCCCCCAGGACCGCCCACTAGGGTCCTCAGCGTGGTACAGATGCCTTCCTATTGGGAGGTAGTATCAAGTAACCCTGTAGAAACCGAGAGTTTTCGGTTCTTTCACTCAGTCACTACCCCCAATCTGGCTGGCTTCTTCGACCAGGGCCGCTGGGCTCGCAGATTGCTCCAAATGTCGCACCGATACCCGGCCCTGTGGCATGCCATGACGGCGGTGGCCTGCATTCACCGAGACTTCATAGCCAACAGCACGCCGATTACCATGTCAAGGATGCAGGATAGCTCCCAGGTGAGGCTGGCGTTGCAACAGTGGAACAAATCCATCCAAAGTCTGCAAGAACTGTTGTCAGGACAGGTTCTGACCAAATTCGACAGACTGGTCATCCTGAGTGTTTGCATCTTATTCATCACCATGTCAAGTCTGCAGGGCCGTCTGTGGCAGGCTTTCGTGCACATCAATAGCGGACTGAAGCTGATTCATCAATGGAAATTGGCGGACAAAGGTGAAGACCAAAGAGATGAGGATTCAGATCTGGATGTGTTGCTGGTCTTGTTTACCCAACTCGACTCACAAGCGCGCCCCTACCTTCCTAGTCTTTCGAATAACCTTCAATGGACGGACAAGCAGATCATTTTGTCGTCGTCTACCAACCCCTTCAAGTCTCTGCTAGAGGCGTGTGTTGCCTTGGAGGTGCATTTCAACAAAATGATGCAAATATATACCAACAATTCCATATATATTGATGGTCCAGATGCTGAGATGCAGATCAAGAAACAACAGTGTCTTCTTGGTCTTACTGAATGGGATGCCAGGCTCGACAAATATCTTGGAAGAACACCACAGCCAGAAAATGGGAAGGCTTTAAAACTCCTCTATGTCCGGCGCAGAATCGCACAAGTGGCTCTATCCATGGACCTGACGGAAGGCGAACTAGCTCACGACGACTTCGTCGAGGACTATGCATACATGCTCAGATTGATGGGCGACATTCTAGGAGACCCCATGGATCCCTTAGACAGCCAGCCTGCAGATATAGACCAGTCACAAAACATGAGCTTCCACCTGGAGACAATCACGACGGAGCCATTATTTTTGATTGCACTCCGCTGTCGCGAACCCACAATCAGGCGGCAGGCGATCCGTCTGCTCAGACAATACCCAAGGCGTGAAGGCATCTGTGAAGGCATGGCAGCCCTGAAGATTGCGGAAAGAGTAATGGAAATAGAAGAGGAATGTTTGAGTAGCCCTGAAAATGCTTGCGCTCGTGGGAAATGGATTTGTGAGAACCACCGAGTAACTTGGCTACAGTTCTTCCTGGTTCATGATCGGCAGGCGCGGACTGTGGTGCACACCCGGGAGGATCTGCTGCACGGCCGGCCCGGAAGAGAGATTGTGACGACGTACTGGTGATTGTTCTTGATTCATGAATCTGAATATAGATAGACGCCATACTGCACAGGCTACTGCTATGAGTGACGAGGAAGATGGCATGGATGTAAGCACAAATTCAGACCTACTATGCTGCTAAGCAGTAACTGCATATTACCAAATGACTGAATGACCAATAGAGACGAACATACAAAAACTGTATCATCTCATAGCAACATATCAAAATTACATATTACCAATGTATCAACAAGATTATCCATCCTCCACATAAACACTCTATCCTCTTTCATACCCAAGATCTACTACCTTAATTTCTTTCCCCCATAACTGTAACCAACCCAGTCTTGAAAGAAGCACCAGGAACAGTACTCGAAGGAGCAGCAGTAGTAGAAGACGACGACGACATAACACCCACACAAACCTCCGTATCAGGAACCAACCCCTCAAGACAGTTTCTCTTTCCCGAGAGAGCCGGATTCCAGGTATACAGATCTGCCATGGTGATGCCGTTAAAGTGCATGATGTCGTAGCAGTCGTCGTGACTGTTCATACAAATTATATTAGTTAGTCATGATACGGATCAGGGGAAGGGGATGAGAAGGTGGGAATTTTGGAGAGAAGGGTTACTCACATCGACACAAGCCACCATTTATTACAGTCCTTAGTAACACCCGGTTGGCGACGCGAATGGGCCGTGGGGAAGCTCATGGCAGTAATTACGGGCCTTGTTCGAGTCTTGGGTGTGCTGGGGTCGGCGACGCAGTAGTAGTAGCCGCTCTATTTATTTGTGTTTAGCTCATGTGTTCGTACCAAAGTAGTAGCTGGGGGTTGTAGAATGTAAAGGAAGAAGGGGAGGGGGAAAAAATGAATTACGTACCTCCAAACCATAGCATTCAACACCGATATCAGGATTCCACGCCACAAACTGTGCTTTATCGAACGTGCCAAACATTTCCACGATCAAGTCGCACGTGTCACCATCATCACTCTTGTACCAGGCCGTGCAGTTCTTGGCTGTGCCTGGCTTTAGCGGATAGGGTTGGTTAGTGACGGTGGGCGGGGCGGGGCGGTTGGTGTCGTTGTAGGCTGCGATGCAGTAGAAGTAGCCTGGAAGGATACCGGAGCAGTCTGATTTCAGGGCTGGGTTCCATTCCAACAGGAGAGGGAATTTCAGCATGGGGTTGCTGGCGAGGATTTGGTCGCAGGTGTCGGACTGGTGTTTTGTTGGTTAGTATTAGTGTGTATGTATGTATGTATGTTTGTGTGGGGAGAATAGGACTCACAGGCTGAGCTTCGTAAAAGGCAGAGCAGCTTGGGGCGAGACCGGGTTGGGTTTTGGTGGGTGGGTAGACGGATGTCTCCGTTGGAGTGGGACGCGGCGTCCAGGGAGTGGGATCGGGGACTGTGTCGTTGGTGGTGGGATAGATTATGGTTAGAGCGGGACGTTTGATACCCACGCACACCCAGTAGCCGGCGATGGGGTAGTCGCAGTCTGCTTTGAGGTCGGGGTTCCATTCCAGTCTGTGGTTGTGCATGTTAGTTAGGGCTGACTCGGGTAGGAAGGAGGGATACTTACAGCTCGTCCATGGTTATGCTGTTGCCGTGGCGCTGGTAAATTGACCTGCAGGTGTCTCCTGGCGCAACTAAATACCATTTGTCACAGTCTTTGGGCTGGCCGGGATGGGTCTTGGTCGGAGGCCATGCGGTGTCAATGGGAGTTATGGTCTGGTTGTATGAGGTGATGGGGTTGCGGGTTGAGTAGGTCACGTTGGTCGTGACCATTGTGCTGGGGAAGGGGCTAATTGGTGGGCGTGAGCTAGGAGTGGGTGTGATAGAGGGCGAACGGGGGGTCGTTGAGGTCGAAGTTCTGGGAGTGGTGGGAGTGGTAGGAGTACTTGGAGTACTTGGACTGGTCAAAGTAGTCAAACTTCTGGAAGTACTTGGAGTTGACGTGGGTGGGTTGGAAGTGGTTAAAGTGGTCAACGTGGTCGAAGCACTCGAAGTAGAAGTACTGGGAACACTCGAAGTCGAAGTGGTGGGACTAGACGTGCTCGATGGGGGCAGGGCCGTTGTCAATGTAGTTGAAGTACCCAGAGTTGTAGACGGGCTAACAGTTGTGGTCACAGTAGTAGTAACTATTACTGTAGTCTGACCATTCGAAGTCAAGGTTGTGGTCAAAGTGAGCGTGGTGGTGAATGTGGTGAAAACAGTCGTACGTGACAAACTAGTCGAAGTGGTCGACGTGCCGGTAGTCCAAGCAGTAGACGTGGTGGAGGTGGTAAGAGCAGTTGTCGAAGTGGTCGACGTAGTCAAAGTGGTTGAACTCGTTGACGTCGAAGCCGAAGTCGCTGTCGCTGTCGCTGTCGCAGTTACAGTCGAAGTCGAAGTCGGGGCAACCGGCCCAACGCCCACGCAGTACGCATAATCTGCCCAGAAATTGACCAAGCAGTCCAGAGAGACAGCCGGATTCCACTGTTGAAATTGCTGAGGACTGATACCAAAAGCCTTCTCGACTGCATAGCAAGTATCACCCTTCTTGGCAGTATAAAACTGGATGCAGTTTGGGGCAATTCCTGGCATAGTAGGGCCATGAGGACCATTTGCGGCCGGCCCAACACCCACGCAATAAGCATACCCGGGCCAGAAGTTGACCAGACAGTCCAAAGAGACAGCAGGATTCCACTGCTGAAACTGCTGCGGAGTAAGCCCGAATGCTTTCTCCACTGCGTAGCAATTGTCTCCTTTCTGAGCAGTGTACCAACGATTGCAATTTGCCGCGATACCAGTCATGGTCGGAGCAGGAGGAGCAGTGTCTGCGGATGTTGGAATTACTACTGGTCCAACGCCCACACAGTATGCGTAGCCCGGCCAGAAGTTGACCAGACAATCACGGGACACTGCAGGATTCCATTGCTGGAATTGCTGAGGAGTGAGTCCAAACGCCTTTTCCAACTCATAGCAGGTATCACCCTTTTGGATAGTGAACCATCGGCTGCAATCAGCTGGGGTTCCTGACATGGTTGGGCCATGAGGGGTGGAATCTGCTGTAATGCCAGCGACATCGATAGCTGGGGATTGAGCAGCTGCAGTCCATAGCAGTAGCAGCAGGGCAGACAGCCATGTAGGAAGAGTACCCATTTTGGTGGATAGTTCCTGGTCGGTGTTGTAGTGAGAGAATCTGTAGGGACTGTAGGAGAGAAAAAAGGAAGGTGGTGAGGGAAAGCAAAAGAGAGGGAGGGAGGAGTAAAAGCAGTAGAATTTATGGCAGCTTTACAGAGAGAAAGTTGTGAGAAAGAGTGAATAGATGATGTGAAGCGGTGAAATTGAGCCAGAATCACAGGCTTAGCAGGTAATAAATTGATTAACTACAACCTCTTTGTGCCAGTCCCCACATTAACTCAAACTACATACTTCCAAATTCCTTTCCCCCAACAGTGAAAGAACATGTAAAGCCACACTTTCCGTCTCCTGCCACACCCAATTGGCGAAGAATGGCTTCTAGGTCGAACAGCCGGCGTACATTCTGAATGTCGAGAAGTAAGGGCTTCTGGGATCGTTGTACAGAGTCCTTAGTGGAATCCCATACACAGTAGTGTAGAGAAGCTTCAAGCCATCTACATCTTCAACACTGGGGTCTGTTGTCTCCTGGAAAATTGTCCCGTCCGCCAAGGATATGACCACCGAAACATCAAACTGCCCGCCCAGGTGAGAACCGTAAAGCATGATAGAGTCAAAATCAACGGTGGCTCTGTTTGACCATATTCCATGGGGAGACATGACTTCATCAAACGGCATAGGAAGGTAATCCATACTTGGAAACCCAACGGCTCGGGCCGCGGTATAACTTTTGCAGAGACCATTTTCTCCCCAGATCCGCTCCTGTGACATTCCCTGGGTCAATTCCGTGAAACCCTTCAATTGGTCACAGTTGAAGGCGAACACTTGGCGCCCTGGTATCCAGTAATAAGGGTTTTGGTGCTCGTGATAGACCCCAAATGAGTGTGCGAGCTCGTGAGCAAAGGTAGCGACTCGGAACGCCTCTGAGTCCCTGTAGTACAAGGATACCCACATTGCAGGCCTCTGAGGGTTCGGATTATTGTTCGAGTTCAGGTAGGACAGAGTGGGCAAGCCAACATCTGTGGCAAACAACTCGGGGGTATCGATGACCAGCAACTTTTCATGTGGCATATTCTGGCATCCATCTGCGCCAACCTCCCTCACTTTGAAATCCTCAGGCAGCCCTGCCGCATACCATAATCTCATTGCACTCCGGAAGTATTTATGATATTTTCTCCAGGTTGCCTCGCTTTCGTAGCACAGCTTGATGGTCTTGTCGGGCCAGAGGCGGCCCCAGGGCTCTACTGGCTTGACTGACAACCATTCGGGAAGCATGAACCGAGCATGCTCCCACTCAGGATGGCCAGCATTGACCGTGGGGAAAATGAGTAGTTGAAGAAGGAGGATTGGAAGGATAATTGCCCACATTTTTGGAAGTGGCATGGTGTTCGAATGGCTCGAAATGGTGAACTTGAGGAGGAGAGAGATATTGGGGCGTAATGGCAAGACGGAAGGTATAGAAGAAGACAAACATAATAAATAGAGAATGTGAAACCGCTTTCGGTCTCTCCAATATACTGGAAAACTGGTTCTTGGTTCACTACAAGCAATTCACAAGACATGCACGTGCCTGGATATTTTCTAATATCGCTCATAGTTCGATAAATATTTGGAAGTGTCGATTAACGTGAGCTTTCTCAAATTTGTCAATCATATCTGTAGAGTTAACAGTGTGAATCACTTTTAGAAGTCTGGAAAGTCACATTGGACATGCAAATTTTCATACTATTCCAACCCTAATTCACGGTTCATTCCTGTGCTCCTTCCATCACTTCTACAGCTTCACGGTCTTATTGGAGATAAAATCTTGTTATTAGTCATTGTGAGCTCGCAGAAGCTTGCCAATGACATATTCAGACTACACAGTCACAATTATTCTCCAACAGTCTGGACATCCACGCATAGCTTGCCCATCCCATAGTATCCCAGCCTTCATTCACAGTTCGTTCTTGCGCTCTCTAGGGTATGAAGCGGATTAAACAGCTGGTTCACATTTGATAATAACATCCATAAGCTAAACAGTCTCAGTTATCCATTAGTTATCTTGAAAATCAACCCATAACATGCATACACCCCTCAGATTCTAGCCGTCCTTCACAGTTCATTTCTATGCTCCTTCCACCACTTCTTCCACCCCAGAACATCATCAACATCTCTGCTCCCAGCTTCAGGAACAGGAATGCGCCGAGCAGGGAGAATCCTTGATTTGTTCTTTCCCATAGCACCCCCTAGAGCGTCGATCATAGTTCCATCATCCAGATCAATTGCCCAGACCATGGTCCCTCCAAGGCACCGCTTATTAGCATAGTCCATTTTCATCCGTAGTGTCTCTTGGTTATCTATGGAAACCCATTGATCATTTTCCCAGGTTACGATGGTAACCGCCGCGTCTTTGTCGAGTACAACGTCGGTCCCGCCCTTCTGAATGATCTTGTTGACCTCATACGTGGCCAGCACTCCCGGTGTGCCGGTACATTCGCCTGCTCGCGCCCCTCCAGAGAACTCACAGCCAGGCTTCTTGCACTTGGGATCCTTCATCGTGAAGCTGCGGCCATAGAAGCCTAGCCCAAGGTTAACTCTCTCCGGATTGATGTTGTTGCGCCAGAGAAGCTCTAGGGCGCTGTTAATCTCCGTTAGATTGGTGTGTGCGAAGGCGTACGGTCCAAGCTGCTTATTCGTGGAGTCCCATGTGCCGTCTGTAAACCGGTCAGTGAGGCAACTTGATCCAGAATCGCAGCCCACTTACGAATGTCATAAGACATGACGTTCAGGAAATCCACATGCGGCTCGAGATTAACAATATCGAATCCCCTCAGGTACCAGTAGGACGTCGGCTGCAGTACGTTAACATCATGCTTATCATGAGGAGAGACAGACTTACCAGAGTGATGGAAATTCCATACTTCCTTCCTGTCTGGTTCAACCGCTCCCTCAGTCTCTTCACCAAAGTCACAAAATTGACATAATCCTCGGGTTTCCCGCCCCGTTCGTCAGTCACAGGGTATTCCCAGTCAATATCAACGCCATCAAACCGATTATTCTGCATAAAGCTAATCAGGGATCCGAAGAACGTATCCTGAGCAGCCTCGGAAGCGGCCAGATCAGAGAAAGTGGTTCGAGTCGGACCCGGGTCATTGAATGCCCATCCCCCAATGGCAGTCCACACCTCGAGATTACTCTGTTGGCGCTTGAGTGCCGTCACGCCCTGGTACAATGACGCAGTGAGATTGTCCATGGCAGTGATGCGGAATGACTGAGGGTCGATTGAAGCGAATGCGTAGTTGATATGTGTGTAGAAGCCGAGAGGGATATCGGCTGGTCCCATTTCTGTAAGAAGCTGTGTTAGTGATGAGTAGAAGGAGTAGTCTCGAGCAACTCACTTCCACATGGGCGTTCCAAGTTCCACCCCTCGTAATACCCGACTGTACGCTTTTTGGCACTGGTGCCGCCGCATTGGGGAGACACGACGGTGGCATCGCCACAGAAGTCCTTGGTGGTTCCTGTAGCAGATAATTAGGTGAGGTTGAGATGAGAGATGAAGAGTAGGAACCCACCGCAGAAACCGAACTTGCTACAACAAACATTTAGCGGACAAGTGGACGCTTGAGACCATTCTTTCCCCCAGCCGGGATCGCATTCGCTCTTGCGATCACAGTTCGAGGTGCAATTTTTGCCGCAGAACTCGGGACCAAAACCACAAAAACCCGAACCAGTGGAGTCACTATTCCAGTGGTCAGTAATGTTTAGATCGAATGCAAAGTTTATACGGTAGGTGCCTCACATGGGTCCACAGCATCCTATTTTACATCCTTTATCCTTGGCACACTTGTACCCATCATCACTGGTAGAGGAAGTGGGAAGGAGTTGAAAAGGATAGACAGGGTCAAGATTCGACGGAAGAGCTCCCCAGGCGAGATTGTGCGCGAAGACAGCGCTAGAAGTTAGTTGCCAACCGAACAGGCAGAGCAGAAATGCCGAAAACACTGACATGTTGGCAATGGTGGTTCGACAAGGTTGGTAGCAGAGTTTCTCTGAAGATGGGATATCGATTCGTGTCCATCTGTTTATGAAGGAAAGGAACAGTGATTGACCTGTGTTCGGGCCAACGTGTTTTCACGGGAACTTCATATTCTGCATGTCTTTCACTTCTCATTGAACTTCACGGTAACAGAGAAATAATTTTTATAGATAACTGTCATGGAGGATTGTTATGGATATGTGTCAAGGTGGATCGTGCTCGTGAATTGTGCTTGTGTGCTCGTGTGCTCGTGTGCTCGTGTGCTCGTGAATATGCCTGAATGATTTGAGATGTTAGGTCTAGTTCCTGGCTCATGCTCCCTCGATATAAACTCGGGAATCTCCTCATCCACAGCTTCTCCTCCATCTTTCTGTTCTCTTCCATCCCATCCCCCGGCTCATCTTCACGCACTCCGTTCCAGGATGATTTGGCTCATATTCCTGCTGGTGATTCTTGTCACTGGCAGCCCTGACATCAATACTCCTCCACATGATCCTCCCTCATCCGATCTCCCCATCACAGTCCTCACCTTCGTTCGCAAATGGGCAGCCATTGGCGACAGCTACACAGCAGGCATTGGTGCCGGTGATGTGTGGAGCGACAAAAAAGAAGACACCAAATGCTCCCGCTACGACAAGTCGTATGTAGCACTTCTGAAGCATGTGTTGGGTCCACAAGTGACCAATTTCACATACACGGCATGCAGTGGCGCTCGTACTAGCGACATCTACACCCAGGCCCAGGACCTTGATAAACTACACGACCTCATAGTCCTGACTGGTGGAGGAAACGACTTGTGCTTGGTATGCTAGCCTCTCCTTCATCTCACTATAGTGAGCCTCTAACTGACTACCTGGCCAGTCCGATATCATCACCACCTGCATCTTTCTCCCTTTCAATAGCGAAGAGAAGTGTCAGAAGGTCATTGAGTTGGCTCAAGAGAACATCAAGTTTATCCTGGGGTACAACGTTCGCAGGATCCTCGAAGTCGCTGTGAGCAAGGTGAATGCTTTTGGCATCATTGTCTGGGCTCTCTACGGCCAGTTCTTCAACACGGAAACTGATGACTGCGAGAAGAATCAGGACTGGGCCTTCCCTGGTCTGGCTCCATTCGATGCTTTGCCTTTGACTCGCGAGCGTCGCGAGAAACTCAATCAACTGGTTACTGACACAAACAAGGTCATTAAGAAAACCATCGATGATTATGTCATGGATAAGGGAAAGTATTTCCCAAGAGTGCATATCCGTACTGCAGATTGGAATGACTTCATGAAAGACGGCCTCAAAGGACAGTACTGCGTGCCCGGATCAACAGGCAAATATCCCGATCCCATGCAGCCGAACTTGCATTTCTTCAAGCCAGACACCACCTATGAACGCCACACGGAACTGAAAGCGAAGCGTGACAACATCACTGACACCTCCTTCTCCTCCTCCGCCGATACTAATGACACCCTTTCATCTTTCTACGACTCTAACCTCTACCGCTCTCCCAACCCGGCTGCAGCTGCCCTTTACGAGCTGAATTCCACCGGCGTAACCTTACCCCCAGGCTGCCCGGGTGATGACAAAGGTATAGGATTCGGGCTCCCCGACCGCTGGGGCAAATACTTCCACCCAAACGAGCTCGGCCACAAGACCATTGCCTCCTTCGTGCTAGATGGCATATATGCCGCACGGGCTGATTTCCTAGGCAAGAGGAACCCCATCTGCTCGCGCGGTTTCGAGGAGTTCCGATGCTGGCAAAACGACGGCCGAAGGGACTACGCAAGCGCAGACCTCCTAAACAAGAATTACAAGACCTACTGCAAGGAAGTAAAACCCCCGAAGAATACAGCAAATTGGAAAGACGAGCGCTGGTTCCACCAACTCACCCCAGAAACGCACAGCTTCAGCATCCAACTCAGCGACGGCGCCACTCACTTCGACCAAGGCCACTGCATGGAGTCCTTCGAACGTATCATCAACTCCTGCGATGGCAACGATCCGAAAAATCCGATGAATTGGAAATTCGGGGGTCGATGGACTCGCGGGAGCTATACGTATGAAGTTAACATTGCGAACTCGTTCAAGAGACCTTGGCCGCCGACGAGAGAAGTTGGGGGGTTTTGCGATAGCAGTTATAAGTTTTGGTACCAGAGGTATGATATGAGAGGCAGAGGATGGGCAACTTGGGATGCGGGTCAGGATACGTTGAAGCCGGCTATTATAAGCTGCGTGGGACACGGACTTACGGGATGGGACTTTCAGTATTTGGATCAACCGGACTCTGATGGAAATGAATGGGTGGTTAAATTCAATACGCCAATTCTGACGGGACCCAGATGCTTTGATAATAATAGAGTGCAGTTCAACGCTGGGGGTTTCACGCGGGGTTGTCATGGGGTGTTGCGACGTGATCCTTGAGGTCGATGAGGGGATGAATTAGGGTTACGGGTGAGAAGTGGATTTGCTTATGTGAGTGGATATGTGCGAACTAGTTAACTGAAGTATTGTCAGCTATTTAATGATATTGCTATTGGGATACTTTCTTCTACCTTCTATCATAAGCCACAACATAGAGATCAGTACATCATAGCTATTGAGATGCCATCAGGTAGTAAGTAGTAAAGTGGCTAATATATGTTCAAAGATGGAGTGGAGTGAACCTCGGTATGGTGTCCAAAAGTGCAGGATTGGATGATGGTAGCAACTCTGCAGATTAGCTCATGACTATCGTGAGCACATTCTGGTTGCAATGCAATTCTAAGCTTTCTGAAGGCATATCACGTTGTATCTATCCAATCACTCTGGAGGAGCCAACCTCATTGTTTGGCACGTGATCTGATCTACATAGCTGATCCAACCACACCCGCTCCTTTACATCTGGTAACCTAGTCTATGGGGAACGACATACATTATAATCGCTTAAGTTTAAAACACTTTATTTTATAATAATACCATTGTATTTGTCCAGGGGTTGTGTATAACAGTATATTCACATCCATCGCCACTGTCTAGTACTGCCAAGTTTGCCAGGTCGCGCCAACCGCGCTGAATTGTTCTCATCAACATTATCATCAACTGCAGGCCAGTGCATTGCTACTCACTCTACAGCTTCAACTAGAGGCAAAATACCTTATTTCAAGCTAAATGCACTCCATAAGCCGTGGATTAACGCGCATATCCTTCCTTCGCGCCAAACCTCACCAGCTCTCGCGTTCACTATCTACTACAACTTCCATTCCCCAACACGAACCTGTGGACGAGGAGTTCAGTCCTGGCTACAATCCCAAACTCTACTATCCTGCGCAACCCGGGGAGATCCTTGCCGATCACTACCGATTGCTGGTCAAGATTGGATGGGGAAGCGGTTCAACAGTGTGGCTCGCCCGAGATGTCGCAAGGCATGTATTGACTTTCATACGTAACTGCGGCCACGGTTCGCATTCCAAACCTCTATTCGAACCACCCGGTTAGATCTCGATGGCAGGCTGAACGAATTGTAGCCCTCAAAATCCTCAACAACAACAATCCCAAGGGTGCCGACCATGAGCGTCGTATTGAAGAACACATCGCAGAGCAAACTCCCTCACACCGCGGTCGTCCGGTTATCCGCAGTTACCTTGAAAGCTTTGAATTGGCAGGTCCCATCAGCAAACATATCTGTCTAGCCTACGAGCCATCGCGGGAGCCTCTCTGGTTATACCAAAGACGGTTCGAAGGCGACAGGTTCACCCTGCCGATGGTTAAAGCCTATATTCTTATCATTCTGGCTGGTCTCGATTACCTACATTCTGTGTGCAAGGTAGTCCATACTGGCGAGTATATCCACCTGGCACCAATGATTATTAATCTAATACAACTATTGTCAGACCTGAAACTCGACAATATCCTCATAACCTTCGAATATGAGAACATCCTCCCGAGATTCGTCAAAGAACAAGAAGAGGCTCAGTCGATGCAATGCAAGACGGATCCGGAAACCGTTCGCGTCATCTACCGCTGTCACAACAACTTTGGACCTCTTGACCCGAGTGGGCTAGGCAACATATACCCTCAAATAACCGATTTTGGCGCCGCGACTCTACTCGGCACTGGTGGAGATGATGGCGCCGTTCAACTGGGTACTCGTCCTATACAACCTGACTATTATCGCGCACCAGAGGTCATTCTGGGATGTGGGTGGAGCTATAGTGCTGATATATGGAATCTGGGTGTTATGGTAAGACATACATGCATTCAAAAAAGTACGTGGTGATCATGAAGTACTCACGTTCTACAACAACAACAACAGATATGGAATATACTCGAAGGCACAGAGTTGTTCACCCAGGTACAGGATGCGGAGGGAACTTACCTCCCAGAAGCACATCTAGCGCAGATGATAGCCTTGCTTGGGCCCCCGCCTAAGAAATTGCTTGTGATGTCGGAGTCCATGGCACAGGTTGATGAGTGGTCACCAGCTATCACTGATGAAAGGGGTAAGATATTCAAGAACAATAGGGAATACTTTGGTGGGCCTTTCTTTGATGAAGAAGGTATTAATACCCTTTCCTTTTTTTTTTTTTTTTTTTCCACAGCATATATGCGTGTATCTCTGACCCTAATCCATATTACGGTAGGCAACTTCTTCTACAACGATTTGATACCCGCGCGAAAACTTGAAGATGCAGTCCCATCTCTAGAAGCGAGCGACAAAGAAGCTTTCCTATCTTTCATCAAACAGATGCTCACTTGGTTGCCTGAGGAACGAAAGACGGCTCGGGAGTTGATGGAGCACCCTTTCCTCAATGATTGAGGGGGGCATGGGTGAGTTGTCTTAGTATTACAGTCCAGCTAAGGTGTCTATTGCTCACTTGGGGTCTTATTCTAAGAGCAACTCCATATACTCGCCTCGACTTGCTGGTTGGGTTGGGAAATGTACTCACGGTAAAGCAAGCACGCATCCATCAACTCGACCGATCAGGGTAAGATATCCCTGAAGGGTAACTAACTATAACAGACAATTTTCTCTATGATATCGTCTCAATCTGGAGAATCAACCGGATACGACTAAGATGTGCAGCATGATAATTGCGTGGAATTGTGAGGTTCGCTACGCGTTGTACGCGTGTCTTGGTAATACTTGTGGCCATTTAATGTTGGCATTTCAAGTCCATGAACATGTTATCCATCTTCTTCTAGAAAGGTGGATGCGCATGATCTGCTTTTGATCTTGATCGCGAGACATATTACTAGGTCATGCTATCTATTTGCCTGCTAATCAGCTAGATATTTTCTGATATGATGCGAAAGAATCAATGATATAAAATGTAGATTAGCGAAGCGGAGTTACGGAGTAGTAGTGACGTGCTAAATATACGAGCCAATCAGATCAATCAGTCACACGCTTCAAAGGAGAGTCCTGATAGCAAGGTATTATCCAAGTAGTTATTACGTACTTAGTTTCCCCCAAGTAACATGAACATGAAGTATTGCTGGAGTTGCCATGCTATTATTGGTGATGTACTAGTTTACATGTTATCTGAATAGTACTCAATTTATTTGAAATTATCATTTTAACAATCATCATAATAACGTTGTCAGCCGCAAGACTGTAGGTTCGCGAGGCTGAACTTTATCTTAACATCTGTAGGTCTCGATATAACCGTATTATTTAGTGATGAGTATCCTCGTATCTGCGAATGTTTACTACTGCTGCTCCCGCCGATGATGACGATGAAATAGATGTTCCATGATCTTCACATGCTTCGCAACTCTCAACTACAACTACTGCACAGCACGTATGGTAATTCGTACACTATGTACCTAAAACAATATAGACTAGTAGCGAATCCGACCCTGAAGCAAAAGAAAAAGGAAAGTAAACTACAGTTTCGTCATGGCTGTCATCATAATCATAAGATAATAAGTAAGAAATTATAACCCTCCTCATCCCCCAATCCATCCATCCAACCTATCTACCATACCCAGCAAGTAGATACCCTCTTCCACAACTCAAAGGCCCCCTCAGATCTGGTCTACAAAACAGTCAGCAACCCTCACTCCCCCAAACAAGAGTATAAACGGTATCAGGGAACATACTCAACGTCATACTCAAACTAACATCCGTATTCTCAACCATATCCGTGAACTCCTCGAAGCTAATCTTGCCATCACCATCCTTATCAGCCTCCATGATGGTCTTATCAACAATCTGCTGCAACTGCACATCCTTAAGATTGTTTCCGACCATCATCTTCAGCACGATGAACAATTCGCCATTGGAAATGTACCCGTCGCGATCGATGTCGTATACTTTGAATGCGAAGCGCAGCTTCTCTTCTTTGTTGCCCTTGGAGCTAAAGGCTGATAACCCGGACACGAACTCTTGGAAGTCGACATCGCCGCCGCCGTCTTCGTCGAAGATGGCGATCATTCTATTTCATTTGGTTATTATCATGTTTCCCATAAACCATGTTTTCGGTGTGGTATTGTTGGAAAGGTGGTATAGGGTGGGAAGAGAGGGTGAGTAGTACCTCGTGGCGAGCGGGTTGGAGGAGACTTGAGGAAGGGAGAGGAATTCATCGCGGTCGATGGTGCCGGAGCTGTCCTGTATACATCGGCATAAGGATTAGCTTTAGAACAGGTAGGGTAAAATGAGGTACAACATGGAGAAAGGGGGGAGGGAGTACCTTATCAAGCTTCATGAAGCGCTTGCGGAGACGGTCCACTTCATCGCGATCGACTGCCAGATTCCGATGATGTAGTCAGCAAGCCCGGACACCCCGATTGATAATTGTTTACAGACGCGACCGCTACCCACAGTTGGAGGCGGACACAATGTTTTCGAAGAGCTGAGAAGTTCCGACGGAGCCCCTGCGTCTCCGGGCATCGTAAAGGGCCGCGTTGTTGGGTTCGCTGGAATGATCCATGATGGGGACCGGAATGTGGCGATCACAGGGAAGGAGAGAAGCAGAAGCGGCAACGGCAAGAACCAGAGACTAAGGTGGAGAAAATAATCGTTTAGAAAGAGAGAGAGGAAAGGGAAGCTTCCCACACAAATTCAATACACAGAGAAACTCTGGGGGGGAATGAATAATCACGAGGGAAAACAATAGATAGATTGATATCAATCACTGCAAGCAACGAGGTTCCCCCAGCCGGCAATTTGATATCGGGCAGCCCCGCACTAACCGGAAACGGACAGGCAAGCGAACCCCTGAGGCCGTGCGCCGGGCCAAAACAGGCCACCGCCGGGTGACATTGCAACGTCAACTCATCCGCCAGTGCCAATACTACGAGATTTCCCGCGTCGATATCATCCCATCACCATCGACATTCATCACGAAACTACGTCTACGCGCTTTCGCATGATCGGCCCTATCGCCTGATACCGATTTTAGCCCCCCTCGCCCATGGTCGTTGCCCTTTTCCGCGCCCCAAAGTTCGTATGACTAGGTACGGGGGAATGGGGAGGACGCGCCCGAAAAAGCTCACCTCCAAGGCCTCCATCCCCATAGTCCGGGAGCACGACATAGATCTTATCGACGATGAAATCCAAAATGCCCTACAACAGATCGAGACCGGCGTGGAAAAGGCCGAGGAGTCGGTAAGTGATGCCTCATCCCCGACCGTTGCGAGCATCCCTGTGCATATCACGTGACATCATCCCGACCTCACCCCATCGTGAAAATTTCGCACCTCGGCAGAAACACCGCAACAGCGCCTGCTAACGCCTGTTCTTGTATAGGAATTCCATCTCCAGGTCGCCATAAATGCGGCTGCGCAGGGGAAAGTAAAAGATGCCCATATTCCGACGCCGGAGACGGTCCTCAGTAACCTGCGCTATGATGAGCTCTACCCGCCTATCTTCTCGCAACCTGCGACCTACATTCGCTTCTCTGCTACGGTAGAGGACTGTTGCGGAGCCCCGTATTGCATGGACGAGGAAGATGATGTCTTCCTCAAGATCTTCAACCAAAAACGCGATGCGGGTAGTCGGTGCACCGAAGACCAGTTCGAAGAGGTCATGAGCTTCTTCGAGCTTACGTCGCGAAAGGAGCAGCCATATGCCTTTGTAGATAACTCGCCCCTCATGAGCTTCGAAGAATTCCAACAAGCGATGGACCCAGCTGTAGAGGAGAGTGTAAAGCGGTTCGCCAAGGACATCTATGAATACTGGAAGTCCAGGAGGACCAGCAACGGCAACGAGCCCCTACTACCTACACCGAAGGTGAGTCTCCCTCGCTAACGGCAGTCATGAGGTTTGGCAACACCAGAGTGCTAACCGATTATCGCAGGTTGAGGCTGGTCGAGACACCGATGATACGGACCCGTATGTCTGCTTCCGTAGGCGTGAGGTGCGGCAGACGCGCAAGACCCGTGGTAGGGATGCGCAGAGTGCCGATAAGCTGAGGAGACTCAGGAAGGAGCTGGAAGATGCTCGACAGATGGTCGCTTTGGTGCGCCAACGCGAGCTAGCGAGGAAGGAGATGCTGGCCATCGAACGCCAAGTGTTCTTGCAGAGATCGGAGGTCAAGGAGATGAAGAGGAAGCTCAACATCAAGGATGATGATGAGGACCTCATCAACCAGAAGGTGAGCCCTATGCAGTCCCGCGACCGTCTGCTTCCCATGCTGATGACTCTGCAACAGCCGAAGAAGAAGCCTGTAGAAGCACCAGCTGTGCAACGCCCGGCTGCGCCTCAACTGCGCATGCCCCCCAAGGCTGGTACACAAGCTGCAGAAGACCTACAGCTGTTGGAGGATGTTCAGGCAGAGAAGGAGAACGAGATTCAGCGCGACATCAAGCAGAATATCGCCAAGCACGTCAAGTGGAACGAGGGCTATGTGGACTTCACAAGAGCACCACTCTCCCCGTCGCCAGAGCGAACTTTCGATGCTGCTTCTTTCCGCCCTGCAATCACCACTCAACTGCCCACGCCGCCATCATCGGAATCGTCCGATAATATGCTGGATTCGCCCTTAGATACCACGAGTGCCATTGCTCTCCGAGATAAATTAGCTCCACATGCCATGGAATTGAGTGTGGACACCAGCAAGATGCCCTCGTTCAGACGACGTATCGGGCGCGGCGGTCGTTTGTGGATCGATCGTCGAAATCTGGTGTCCCGTTGTAGAGTCGAACTGGACCCATGGAAGGCCGATCGGTTCAAGTATGATCAGGAGGACTCGGACGAGGATCTCGAATTTGAAGGAGACCAGTACGATATCCAGATCATGCAGCATCGGGCCATCATGGCAGCCAAAGCCCGAGACCAAGCAGCGGCGGCAGCTCAAGCCCATGCGCAGGCGCAGGCTCAACAAGCTCAGGCTCAAGCTCAGGCTCAACGGCGATTGCAGGCCGAGCAGACATCGGCGACCAATCCACCAAGCGGAGGGCAAACCATGGGATCTAATCCCGGGCCTGGCGCCATTGCCTCCACTTCAGAGACCTAAGCTGGCCTTTGTTCTTCTCCCCCCTCTCTTCCCTTCTGATTATGTTTTTAATCTTTCACCCCATGTTTCGCATCTGGCCGGCGTTGTTCTTTCGACATATTCTCTTACCCTCACCTGTACTTTTACCCCCTGGACGTCCTGATTCTTTACCCCATACCCCGAATTTCTTTTCTTTCCGGAGCGCTGCAAAGCGTTCGACCCTCAGGATGATGTTGCCGGATGATGCTTTGTTTATGACATGACCCTGGTATTATGCGAAAGTTAGTGTACATAGCCAGTTTTTGTCCTCTTTTTTCTTTTCTTTCAGCCGAGCAGTCGATAGACTCGTGTACGGATAGTGAGGCTATGAGGTCAGCGACGAAGAAGATAACAAAAATCAATATTAATTAGATGAAAAAGGAGAAAAAAATCAAACTTTTGGTCTTATCCATCATAATAAAACAGTTTTTCGGTTTCGCGATTTAAGCGTCAAGTCCTCAGAGCTTTATTTCTCTGCGGTTCGTCGCTTTCGCCATTTGCTGCCCGCTTGAGAGGATTGCTCGTGAGTGTGGCCCCGAACTGCTTGTCGAGCATGAAGGACAGGTTGTGCAAAATCTCCTTTTCGCCGAGGCGGACCTGGATCGCCATCTTCTTACGACGAACAGATCCTTCCACCGGGCCGGATGCTTCAAGCTGCGACAACTGGGCGAGGAGTTCCTGATCCTGGGGAATGGTCGTCGCATACTGAGCCTGGTTCAACTGCAGAGCCTTGGCAAAGATGGCGGCCTCCGCATCACCGAAGGATGGCTTGGGGGGCTTGTTCTTCGAGCGCTGCTTCTCCAACTGGTCGGACGGGAGCGCTAGGGTCTTCAACAATAGCAAGAGCTCATCCGGAAGAATATCAGTCAACGGATCCTCAGGGGAAGAGGGCCTTGGAATGGTATAGCCGTCGTCAAGAAGTTCTAAGTCTTCGAGGAATTGAAGCTAACGTTAGGTCAGCATATGGTTTCCGGCGCCAGGTGGGTCTTATGTCAGTTATTTACCGGGGGTTGGGTCTCAATATCGGCACTTCCAAGGCCAGCAGCCTGGCATATTTGGTCCAATGAGAGCTCGACAACGTCGTATTGGGCATAGTTGTCAGTCACGTACCCGTACCGTCTCAGGAGGTCAGAACGTGGGATCTCCCCATAGTCGTTGAAGATCTCCTCGCTCGATTTGATAGGCTTGATAGCCTTCATAACCAAGACTTCTTCTTCTTGGAAAAGACGAGCCTGAATGGAAAACCTTGTCAGCGATCATGTAGCAAGAACCGAAGATCAGATAGAACTCACATTGTTGCGATCGGCATCCGCATTGAGCAGATCGGCCAGAGGAACCATGCCCTTGGACGACTGCTCTTCTTCTTCATCGGTCAAATAACCGTCTTCACCATCACGGTCACCCTCTTCATCTTCCGGTTTCTCGATGTCAAAAGCGTAGGCCATGATAAGCGATCCCATAGTATGTGCGAGGTGAAGGAGGGCCTGGGTCCCAGCGTCTCCATCGTAAGAGGCCACTCCGTCGATGGGAGGGAAAAGGGCAGGATTTGCTCGCACGATAGGAGCAATGGACTCGAAAATGGATTCTTCGGCTCCCTGCTTCCCGATCTTCTCGACAATAGCGCTGCCCTGAAGCTCCTCGAGCTCGGAAGCGGACCAGAACATGAGGGTGTCAAAATTGCGAGGAAGAACCCGGAAGTATGAAGCCCAAGCAGACTGATCGCCTTGAAGATACTCATAGATCATGACAACCATGAGAGACAACCAAGGGCCAAGATCTTCGAGGTTCTGAGAGAGCAGGTTCTTCAGATTGGAATTCTGAACCGAGAGAACATGTGCGCGGGGGATGGTAAAAAGCTCTTCACCTTCGTCGAGGTCGGACTGAGCCACTGGTAGAGTGACACGAGGACATCAGAGAGGGAGTCACTTCCAAGAGAAAATGGGTTTCATGAGACAAGCACGAGCGGGATAAAACCTCGTCTGGGATGGGAACCTACCGACACCTCGGCCAGCAGCGTGGGAGCGCAGATCTGCAATTTGGATCTTGGGGTTGATTTTGACGCCGGGCTTGCCAGCCAGCCAAGTGAGAAACTCATTTGACTGGTGCTGGAAGTTTCCCGGGTCGGGAAAATGGGTGGTGGAAGACATTTGGGAGGTTGATGGAGGAGAGATTGTGTGAATAGTGTCGACCTAAGAAAAAGGAAATTCGGCACCCCACACCCACTACTGTGTTAAGGACGGCTCAGGAGTGAAAGGAGCGGGAAGGATAGCAGTTTGACAGCCGAACAAAGAGAAGAAGATACAGCTGCTGGGACAGCTAGCCAGGTGGTGAAAGAAAAGGGGAGGGTGTGGGAGGGTGAGAGATTGACGGGGGGGAAGTTGAGGGGATCAGGCGGTGCTCCTCCGGTAGTAAGTAAAGTAACTAATTAGTAGTAATTAGTTGGCAGGCAAACGGGCGTATGGAAAGTATGGTACAGTAACTGGTGTTCCAGCAAAATGACAGTCGGATAAACGCTGCGGCGGACCAAATCGGGCCAATCGATAACACGCCTGATAACCTTCCGAACCAGCACCGAATTTGCCCCTCCGCGACTGGCTCATGTCCGCAGTCTCGAAATTTTGACCAGCCTGTAACCACCCCTTCTGAGATATTGGTCCCTCCTTTTTTTCGTCATTGAGCCAGATACCCCCCCAGATACCCCCTACCCATCATGATCTCCATCGGTCTGGAGAGCTCCGCCAACAAATTGGGCGTGGGCATCATGGTGCATCCCGACGATGGCAAGCCCCCGCAGGTGCTGGCCAATGTTCGGCACACCTATGTCACCCCTCCCGGTGAAGGATTTCTTCCCAAGGACACCGCCCGTCATCACCGCGCCTGGGTTGTGAAGCTGGTCAAGAAGGCTCTTCGCGAAGCTCAGATCTCCCCCAAGGATGTGGATTGCATTTGCTTCACTAAGGGCCCCGGCATGGGTGCCCCTCTTCAGAGCGCCGCCATTGCGGCCCGCATGTTGAGTCTACTATGGGGCAAGGAATTGGTGGGCGTGAATCACTGTGTTGGACGTATGTGTTATGCCTAGTACTTCACTGCTCTATCTATCTATCTATCTATCAGTCCCCGATCCTATCTGCACCGTGCGGGGAAACCCTTTGGCCCGTGTCATCCCTTGCTTAGCTTAGCCTCCCTATTGTAACCATCGCTAACCATGCCTCGGCTGTATATATAGATATCGAAATGGGTCGATTGATTACCGGTGCTACAAACCCCGTCGTCCTCTATGTCTCCGGAGGAAACACCCAAGTCATCGCATACAGCTCCCAACGGTACCGCATCTTTGGCGAAACCTTGGATATTGCAGTAGGAAACTGCTTAGACCGCTTTGCGCGCACGCTGCGCATATCCAACGACCCCGCCCCCGGATATAACATCGAACAATTAGCCAAGAAGGGTAGGAAACTGGTCGATCTACCGTACACGGTCAAGGGAATGGACATTTCCATGTCCGGTATTTTGGCGGCCATTGATGGACTGGCCGTGCAGTATGGCTTGGACGGAGATTGGAATGACGATGAGGATGTCGCTAACAATGCGTCTACATCGGAGGATCTGGAGAACGCGAAACCGACGCGCGCAGATCTATGCTTCTCGCTCCAAGAAACGGTTTACTCCATGTTGGTTGAGATCACAGAGCGCGCCATGGCACATGTCGGTTCCAAGGATGTCCTGATCGTCGGTGGAGTGGGTTGTAATGAGCGCCTGCAGGAAATGATGGGCATCATGGCTCGTGACCGCGGTGGTACCATTCATGCGACCGACGAGAGGTTCTGTATTGATAACGGTATCATGATCGCGCAGGCCGGATTACTGGCATATAAGTCCGGTAGCACAACGGCCTTGAAGGATTCCACTTGTACTCAGCGCTTCCGGACAGACGATGTCTTTGTCAAATGGAGGGATTGATTTCTATTCTTGTTCCATTGGATGATGATGATTTAGATGAATGAGATGAATATAATCCATAGAGTCATGAGCAAAGGTCTCCGATAGTACGGGATTCGGCACCCGGAGTGCATCCGTGCATCCAGACGAACTGGAGCAAGGGCTGGTATTGATTGAAGCCCGCTTGATCGCTTTCTTTCTACTGAGTAACGATTGGCGCAGTTTGACTCAGTTGCCACGGACACAGATGACAGGTTGGGATTAAGAATATCAAGTCGGTCATGACTAGTTGTCCCCCCAACGGGTGGAAGCAAGCGTTAAGGGCGCACATCAAACACTCCTGGCTGACTGAAAGCAGCAACGCCTATGTAGAACAGCCGCGCATTTCAGCTGCAAGCAAGGTTAACAACAGGGGGCTTAGCTATCGAAGAATTGTCGCTAGCCATGCATCGTTCCGAACACCAACAACAACAATGGTCTAATAGTGGCGCGCTTTCTGCACCGCAAATAGTCGGACATCGAGCAATCATAGGGACGTGAATCATACAAAGTGACTTGAGCTTGGGTTCCGGCTATGTGCAACTCTGCAAGGTCGTAAGATTTACCCAAAGGAGATATCTGTTGTTATTTCTCCTGGTTCTGCAAGGGCCTTCGGTGTCTTATCCTCCATTCAATGCCTTATCCTCCATTTCGATGCGCAGATAGCATACGGTCGACATGCGGGATGCTCGGCCCCGCTCAGGCAGCCAAAGTAATACAGTCCCCTTTTGGCTAGAGAAAAGGCACGAGGGACGCGCAGAGCACCTTATCTCATTGACAGGCTAACCTGTAATATCATCTGTTGGCTTATACAATATCGTTGTGACGTACTGCATACCGTTAATTCCGTGGTTTCGTGACAAAGAGGTGCCATCTTACCTTCCGTTTGTATCTGGTCGTTACACTAGTGGCAAGCACACCATTTTTTATACTGCTAGTGGCGAGATGGTTTAGGACGGTGTGGTTAGGGTAGTTAAGAACACTGCTATCGTCCTTCATGGGTGTGGTGCCGTTCAGGATTGATTTGCCAAGGAACAGCGGAAGGCTCGGCGGTGTAGGCGCATCCCCAACGATATTCACAGCTTGCTGGTACTCGGGTGTTTCTTCCTCACGATCTAGATCAAGCAGAAATTGTGGGATAACACCACGGAAGTCACCCAACGGAATTTCCTCGGGCTCTTCTCTGTCTGACTGTTCTTCCACGGTGGACCCTACTTGATCATTCCCGACCGGTCCAGGAATGACCTGCGGAGGTCGAACGCCATCAGGGACCTTATCGCTCTCTCTCCGTGACCGGTTGACGTCATCAGCACTAATTTCAATGTAGTTGACGAGGTGATTTGTGAAATCGACTGCCGTGGGAAGATTGTCTGACGCGCGCATTTCACCATCGACAATGAATTTCAAATGATGCGTGCCCGGACGGAGGTTCAATCTCGTGGACAAGACGCCGGGGTTGTTCTCACTGTTTATGCAGAGTTCCAGTTAGTTCTGGTAACGTACAGCCCAGATAACGAGCAATGCGACTGGACATATGGGACAGTGGACGCGACAACATGACATACCTCCGATGTAAACGGAATTTCTTCTCCCAGTTCACAAACGTTCCCGTAACGTAGACCTTATCACCAGGGGCAGTCCACTCTATGAGGGTTGGCACAGCTCTTCCCACGCCGCTCGGAGTATAGGGTTGAAGTTCATCCAATGCCTCATCGTCATCGACCGTAGCGCCAGCTACGGCAGATTGTTTCGAATCGCGGTGTTCATCCAGCAGATGGTCAGGTGCAACCGATCCCATATACGAGTCCTCCGGACCAATGATGGGCGAACCGGGGGTGGCCGTGGCATCTCCAATGGGCAGGGGCATCCGCGGTGGGCGCTGAAGATGAACAGAGGCACTGTAATAGGCATGGGGAGGGGGGCCAGAGGGTGCCACAGGGTCACGTTTTGCAGCCGCCCGGGATCCCGGAACTTGAACGGGGTTGGACGGATCAGGCGCAGGAATGTCTCTGGAGCGAGTATCTGGCTTCTTTGGAACCTGACGGTCTGGCCGATCTAGGTTCCGCGTCGGCAGGTCTGTGACATTGCGGGATTGTAAACGCTGCTGGACGGATGGTTGAACTTGGGAGGTCGGAAGGCCGGTTGCAGTTTCTCTGGTGGCGGAGGGGTCGGCTGCGGAGGCCTTGGTGGTGCCCGATGGTGTATGAATCGATGACCGGCGAGCTACTTTCTTGTCCCCCGCCGCGGCCGAGGGAGCCGACGGCGATTGGGCATCTCCGGCCGGGGGTTTGGAAGGATTATTGCCCATCTGGAACAGGGAGCCGGTAAGAGGCGCTTGTAGGAAGGAAAGGGAACTGAGTCAGGCAGGTTCGATGCCGTGTTGAAGACAAGAGAGACGAGTTGTGGGTTCCGTGATCAAGGTTGGGATGCCAGCATCAGATGGTGTCGGGGTTTGGAAGGCGGAGGGGTAACGGAAAATAAAGAGGGAATCGGGGCGAAGGGAAAATATCGGGTGGAACAAAGGCCTTCGGATGCAGATGGGGTCTAGGAAATATGCTGACGGAAATAGGAAAGGCGCCGGCTCAAGGATGGGGTGAGAAAAAAGTATATAAACAGAGCAGCGGGCGAGGATCGAAGAGAAAGAATGCGGATGGGCAATCAAGTAAGAGTTGATGATGTCGATGTCGTCGACCCCGGACGGGCTAGTCCCATGGAGAAGTTCCCCTTAGGGTTTAGGGCTTCCCTCCTTGGTTTTCCCCGACGGTCGGTCGGCTGTCATCTCCGATGGTGACTTGGTATGTCAACTGTAGTATACTGCATCATCTCCGAGCGAATAAGCGAGATATATTCACCATTTTTGCTAATACTTTTAGCACATTTGAAAGATTCAGGCAAGCCGATGGATGAAAGAGGAATGTCGATTATCCCATAAAATAAATACTAGGAGGACATACTTATAACGATAACAATCGATGAACCAAAACAAGGCATTCAACCATTACCATTTCTGCCACCGCAGACCGCTTACCGGACAGGCAGCGCCATCATCCATCCAAGCATTATTTACTCTATATTTACTATCTACTACTGTATCCCTTCCCATTGCCCAGCGAGGCCGTGTCATAAATTGCCTCAGCTGATGCACAAGGAATGCTCTATGTAACCAAGTAACCAACCAGCTGCTTCTGGAACACTTTTTAGCCACGCGAATGGCTTGGGTTACCGCCTTGACAGCGAGCTTCGGTGCCGTGCTCTATGCTCTGGCTTACCTGGCTTCCTGGTTCTATGGGCTGTTCAGTGTACTAGCCTCGCCAATGTGGATCCTAGCTCATGCCATCCTCTATGTGCTCCTTTCTCCACTAAGGCTTCTAATCAAATTCGAGGTACGAATGGATAGATTCTCCATCCTTTCTAGCAGGTACTGGTCGCAACCCAAGGAATAAACACTTATGGTTCACCTAGGCCATTCTTAGCTACTTCACAGTAGCCGCATTGATGGGGGTAATCCTGGGAATATCAATTCATTATGCGTCGTCGGTTACTGTGGAGGCGATTCATCAATGGTCCGGTTCACTGAATGACCCAGCTCGCCCTAGGCGGAATAGTTTCCATGGACGTCTACTTGATAAAGTCAAAAGAGGGACTTCTCCAAGCGATTCCAACGCGACCGACGAGAATATGCCGGAGTGATAGACCGACGCGAGGGATAGGCTCAAACCGATGAGAACCTGGGCATCGTCTACACGATCCTGATCCTCGAAGGGGAAGAAAAAACAGCAGCCGGGCCGAGGAATGACGGGACGCTTTAAACTAAATCATGAGCATACAGTGGGCATGTCAGCGGAAAGTGTAGTGATTACGTCTGTACTATATATTTTTCACATTAGCATGTGTTAGCTTATTTCGCAGTAGACTATTACGCCTCTGAGCGGTTCGACCGAATGCATGACAGATACTAGCGGAGGCAGACGGATCCTCGCTGGCGGACGGGGCTGGTAATCTCCGGGTTAATTGACGCAATCAATCCGCGACAGTCTGGATGGACCCTGCCGCTCATCCAATTCCCCACTGCAATTATACTTTCATGAGACTCAAAGAAGACTCTCCCTCATCTTATCTTAATAAACTATTAGGATGGCCCCCAATTTCCACAATTTTAGTAGTAGTAGTAGTATTACTACTATGGACAGTTGCTTGTTATTATTTATCCTAGACTTTGATCATCTATTCAATTATTTTGCTTTTCTTTTTGTTTTTATTTTCTTTTAATTTTTTCCCCGTCTCTTCTCACCGCAATACGAAGTACTGAAGGGAAAAAATAAAGTATAAATATCAACTTTAAGCATTACACCGCAGTCCATTGTAACCATGGTCCACTCAGTAACACCGATGTCATCACTCCTGATTGTTTGTTTCAACTTGACATGAATCATACCCCTGCGACTATACTATCACTCTATAACTCCGGACAAACTACCTTTCGAAGTGGATTGCTTATCACCGAACATCGTGCTGTGGGTCTCTCGAACCATCAATCAACAAGAACAACCCCTCGGTCTCGAACGGACCATCCTGCAATCTGTCCAGGGTTCGCTTCGCTTGTTCATCTCCGTCCTTTATTCCTCCCCTCGCAAATTCCCCCGGCACTCTTCTTTCCTATCCTTTGATTCTATTTCCAAAGGTACTCTGCAGCTTCTCCTTCTTCGACACGCATGTCTTCTCCATTTATCAGCCTCGTTACATTTCCTCTCGAGCCTTGCTGACGCCCCCCCGGACGCCTCCCAATGCCTTTTCCCCTGCGCTAGCGGTGTCTTCTCCGATATAACGACTACGTCAGACTCTCCGTGCTATACTTTGCGATCCTAACGAGACCACGAAACCATTGACGGCCGTTGACATTCCTGTCGCAACATTCCAAACACAATGTTCCCCTCCAGAGCGTTCTTACGAGTGCGCTCCCTATTACTTGCAATATTTATCCTGTTGACATTCGCTTGGTCCTATTCACGATGGCGCAGCTATCCTCTGACCGAGACAGCCCCATCCATACAAACACACCAAGCGACTCCCTCGAACCACAGACATACCGAAGGCCACATCCAATTCTGGCGTCAATTCCAGCCACTTCTGACCGCTCATGAGCCGAAATGCGAGCCACCTCTGAGATTAGGATCGGCGCCGTCAATTAGGTTCGAACAATCGAACCCGGAAGACCGCCCGGAGCTGCTGGACATGCTCCCATTCGACGTGGATACGATGAAAAATGCGCACAGCGGTTTTGTCGATGCGATCAATACCAACCCGCCCCAACTAAACTATACACAGAATACGCGAGGCTTGGTTTCCACCGCGGGGGGCTCCTACTTACCCGTGCTGGTGATCTCGCTTCGAATGCTTCGCAGAACGGGCTCAAAGTTACCCGTCGAAGTTTTCCTCGCAAATGAAGAAGAATATGAAGAGCACATCTGCGAAGTGGTCCTGCCATCGCTGAATGCGCAATGTGTCCTCTTGTCGGAAATCCTGGACGCCGTCCCAGGCGATATGAAAGTCGAGAAATACCAGTTCAAGCTTCTCGCAATGCTGTTCTCGTCATTCGAAGAAATCCTCTTCTTAGACGCCGATGCGTTCCCGATTCACCCACCGGAAATGCTATTCGTCAATGGCCCCTTTCCCTCGAAGAACATGGTCACTTGGCCCGATTTCTGGGCATCCACCGTCTCGTCCTACTACTACGAAATTGCCTCTCAGCCGTTTCCCCAGAACTCAGTCCGACAGTCCAGCGAATCCGGAGAGGTCCTTATCTCGAAGAAGACGCACATTAAAACCCTTCTTCTCAGCACCTACTATAACATGTGGGGTCCCGATTTCTATTACCCATTGCTTTCGCAAGGCGCAGCCGGAGAGGGCGATAAAGAAACCTTCGTCGCAGCCGCCATGACCCTCCAGGAACCATACTACCAGGTCTCGGAGCCAATTTGCGCCATCGGCCACGGCACACAGGGCGGTCTGGCCGGCTCCGCGATGGTGCAGTTCGATCCCATTGAAGACTACGCTCTGACGCAAAAGGGCGAGTGGCGAGTTCATGGATCGAAGGCGCCCGCCCCCCGAGCATTCTTCATCCACGCCAACTTCCCCAAGTTCAACCCGGCCACGGTGTTCGACAAACAGGCCGTGAATCCAGCTTTCGCGGATGACGGGAGCTACACGCGCGCATGGACAATTCCCGATGAGGTGATCAAGGCCTTTGGCACTGATATCGAGAAACGCTTCTGGGATGAGATTCTTTGGACGGCGTGCGAACTTGAGGATAAGTTCAGTACTTGGAAGGATAAGAAGGGCATCTGCAAGGGGGTGAAGAACTATTGGAATGCTATGTTCGGTATCGGGCATTCTCGTTGAGTTAGGGTCGGTCGGTTTCCCGAATTCAGCCTTAACTTGTTGTTGGTCGCTCCGTGAGATGTGTAGGGAGTATGTATCATCACCTACCGAGATGTGCACGATCCCCACGAGACATTATATTCGGGGTATATCTGAGTTGGTGTCCGGGCTACTATCAGAATGGAGCAACTAGCACAACGAGACACGCAGTGACGAAGACGGCTTCAGCTCATATTACAGCAATTGGAGCGACACATCTACGCCCCATGTCTCATCAAGGAGACACGAACCACACTGCAAGACACTTTGGACCAGCCTTGGATACCTTCTATAAATACAAACGACTGGCAATATCAGGGTCTCATCCTGGATAACATACACATATTCACAAATACCTCCCTTCACGCCATGTCATGCCATGCCATCAGCTTTTGGCTACTTATTTCATGTACCATATACCAATACCCATACACTACTATAAATACAAACCCATTGATGTAAATCTCTATACATACAATCTAAGCTAATGATACAAATCCAGAGAAGAGAATAATACCCCCCCTCCCTTCCCCTCAACACAGTCCCTTAAAAGATACACTCACTCCCTCTCAATCGTCCCCGCAACCTGCGCCTTCCTAACCGCCTCCCTAAACATCTCCTTACACGGCACTCTAGATCCCAACCTCGCGCACAACAAAAACGCACCACTCAACTTCCGGTGTAGACTATACGTCTCCTCCGGCGGAGGCGTTAACCTCTCCCGAATCATAAGGGGAATCAACCCCCTCACGCGATCCGTAATAGTCTGGTTCCTAAAATCATACACATCCGGCGACGACTCCATGAACGGCTCCGCGATAGTAGTAACAGAAGTAACGTGCGCATCGACCATCTCTTGACTCTCATGGCCCGTGAGATACCCTAATTCGCGGGACAACTCCGCACAGCGCTGCCGATCGTTCCTCGCTGCCGCGATCAGCGTATGTACATACTTGGTGATGAATTCATCGGGGTATTCGCGGGAGGCGCCGAAATCGAGTAATTCGAGCTTGTTCGTCTGGGCGTTGTAGAGGAAGTTCGTCCAGTTGGGGTCCGTCTGCATGTACTTGAACTCGGTGATTTCGCGAAGACAGAGACGGAGGATCTGGGTGCCAATCCAGTCGCGTTGGGATTGGGTGAAATTTTGGATTTTGGTGACGGCGATGCCGTTGAGGCGTTCCATGGTAAGAACTTGTTTGCCGGAGGCTTCGGGGATGATGGCGGGGATGTGGAAGACGGGGTCGTCGGCCAGGAGGGAGCGGAAGTGCTCGCCGCAGGTGGCTTCGCGGTGGTAGTCGCATTCCCAGGCGAGTTCCGTGCGGGCGTTGGCGATGGTTTTGTCGAGGTAGAGGCCGCGTGGGAGGAGGCGGGAGGCGGTTAGGAGGATGGAGAGGTTGTTGAGGTCGGAGTCGATCGAGTCGGCGACGCCTGGGTATTGAATTTTGACGGCGACGGGTTGGCCCGTGGAGGCGAGGACGGCGCCGTGCACTTGGCCGATGGAGGCGGCTGCCATGGGGATTTCGTCGAAGGAGGAGAACAGGTCGCGCCAGTTGGGACCGAGGTTGTCGGTTAGGACTTTGTCGCGTTGTGAGGCGGGCATGTAGTCTGCGCGGTCTTGGACTCGTTGGAGGACCTCGTGGATGGAGTCGGGGAGCATTTTGGTGTCTGGTGTGGTGTTAGAGAGGAGTTGGTTAATGGGGTAGATGGTGTGTACCTTGGATGCTCAGCATCTGCCCCAACTTGAGGGCCGCTCCGCGCATCTTGGAGAGTTTGGCGACGAGACGTTCCATGTTTCCGGCGCTGAACATGAGGGATCCGGTGCTTTCGGACTGGCTTCCAGTGGCTCGTCGTAGGCTTTCACTGACGGCGCCAAAGGCCATGGATGTGGCTAGGCCACCGTATTGCCATAGTCTGCCTAGTCGGGAAGCTGGAACGCGAGACTCGATCATCTGGTATGTTGCCTGCTGCTTCATGGCTGCGGCAGTCTCAGGTTCCACCTGCGGGCACTTTATTAGTATATAAACGTCCGATTGGCTGCGACTGCTTGCACTCACTGTTGTTGTTGACACAATGTCCTCCACGGCCTGAGCCTCTTCTTTCGACAATCCCTCCTTCCCAATGGGTTTGGCGTCAGGTGGAGGCATCGGAGTCTTTCCTTTGTATTTTAGATCCGCAGCAGCTTGCCGAGACAGCATCCTAGCCACCTTGGGGCTGTGGAATATTTCCTTCATCATATCCTCCGAAATCTCCTCCTGTTGTTCTGTAGGCTGGATTGACGACGCAGGTTTCTCGGCACCGACGGCAGAGTGGAATACGTCCGCATTTATCTCAGTGTTGATGCCTGATTGCGTGTCGCTGGAGGTCTTGGGTAGTTTAACCCTAGGAAGTCCAGACGAGCCGGGGGTCGTCTGTTTGGAGGGCTCATAGAAGACATCTTGCTGCTGGCTAACATCCAATTGACTAGCTCCGTAACCAGTATGTTCCGCCGTCGTTGAAGGTATCTGCGACTCTGCCTGTCGTTGTGCTTTCCTGGCCTCATCCGGCGAGAGATTCGTGTGCGTGGGGGACGAGCTCGGGGCCCGGGGTGACGGTGCGGGTGCCGGTTGGGAGGGAGAAGGATCATCATTGAACCGCTTTGCTAAGGCTGCCGCAGCTTGTGCGGTCATGCAGAGGCCATCCACCTGGCTCTTGATGCCTTTGGTGAGGGACGAAGTCCTGGTAAATAAGTCTAGTTGGCGCTGCCGCACCTCGAGGTGCTTCACGGCCACGGACCTGGCGACATTGCAAAGTTGGATCGCGTCCAACAGACGCTTGCCCGACATGATTGATAATGTAGCAGAGAAGCCCGGGCTGGTCTCCAAACTACCGTCTTCGCATAATGATGGAAATTGAAGCAATTGGGGAAGCGCGAGAGCAAACCGGATAGCATCTCGAGCCTCGAAAAGCCGCGGTGGTTTTCTGCCGGGCGGTACCGCGCCCCGGAGAGGTCCGGAGGCAACTGATAAGGAAGACAGCCGACCGGATAAAACTAAGAATAGTATTTAAAGGCGAATGTTCCTCCCGCGGGTCTCCCTTTCTTCATCACCGCCATGTACCGGCCGCCTTAACTTGTTTGGTGAGGGCAAATGACAGTGAAGACCAACGTGCAGGATATCGAGCAAGAGATCGTGGATCTCGAGGACCGTCTGCGCAATGCACGTGCTCGTCTAGCGTCGGCCTCTGCGTCGCACAAGGGCGGGGGTTCATATCTACCGGTACCGGAGGGTGTGTTTGCCCCCGCGGATGTCTTCCCCGTATACTTCTTCTTTTGCAACTGCATCTTCCACCACCTATTTACAAGATACTAACCGTCCATTCCTACGCTCCAGATACTACGGGAATAGTGCCTAGTCATGCACTGCTCCTCCTCTCGGATTCAGCCCTTCCGTTGGGCTCGTTCGCCTACTCCAGCGGTCTCGAGTCCTATCTGGCGCATAACAAGCCCCTTCCTCGCTCGGTGACCCCAATTGCATCCTTCCAACGCTTCCTGAAGCTCTCGATCGCTTCTATGGCAAGTACATCACTTCCATACGTTCTGGCAGGATACAGACGCCCAGAAGACTTGGAAACCCTGGACAATGACCTTGATGCGTCTACCCCCTGCATAGTTGCCCAGCGGGCGAGTCTCGCCCAAGGGCGGGCATTGCTCGGGGTCTGGGAACGCGCTTTCCGGAAAACGTATGCGTTCAACCCATTCCACGCTAACCCCAACGCTGCTGAGGCAGTGAAGGTGGTAGAGGAATTCTCCGACATACTGAAGACCTCGCTGGGTACTGACGAACTAGGCCCCAAAGGTCACTTTGCGCCTTTGTGGGGGGTGGTATGTCTGGCCATGGGCATGGACGCCCACCAGACTGCGTATGTCTTTATGTTGAACCATGCCAAGGCAGTCCTTAGCGCTGCTGTCCGTGCGTCCGTCATGGGCCCTTATCAGGCGCAGAACATCCTGGCCAGCAAAGGCCTGCAAAGCATGATCACTCAACGTATAGAGCGGGAGTGGGATACTCCCGTCGAAGATGCAGGACAAATCGTCCCACCTCTTGATCTCTGGGTGGGACGACATGAACTTCTATATAGCAGAATCTTCAACTCATAATACATAGATCACCACGATAGCTCTCTCGATTCTTTTCTTTTTGGTCAAAGGTGACATTCCTGTATGAATATAGCTGCATTCATCATCTTTCTCTCTGCCGTGACGTCCTAGTTAATCCTACAACATGCACCGTATTGTCCCACCCAGGTGCCGCTCGAACACTGACGTGGGTATCCAAAAAACAACTCCTCTGGACCGGAGGGTAATAAAAAGAGAAGAGAAGGGAAAAGAAAAGAAAAGAAAAGGAATAAAAGGCGGCAAAGAGAAACGAAGAGAGAAAGAAAATTAAAAGGAAAACAAATATGGAAAAACCGGTAACCCGAAGACCAAACAACCCGGCCACTATGCAAATAAGATATCCGATCAATAGGAACAGATTTAGATCGAACGCCGGCCCTCTGATATCCTGTCCTGCTAAACCACAGTAAAACACCGCACCATGAGCCTTTTTCCATGATTATGGAGCGCAATGGGTAAAAGAAAAATCAAGCCGTAATAAAGTGACGTAGGTGAGTGAAAAGGTGAAGGCGAGAAAGGCAAGAAGAGAAGGAAGAGACTATAGTACACGAAGTTGAGGGTATGAACCCAGGATGGAGGGTTCTGAGCAAATCACAGTGTGATATGCATGTAATCGTTGTTACCGAAGGACTTGTTGCAGTTGGGACACTTTCGGGACCGAGATGTGAGGCGCTCCTCTACGCATTCTTTGCAGAACACGTGACCACATGTCTTGATAGCCGTGTTCTTGAAGTTGCGACGACACACAGTGCAGAGTGCCAGAGTCTGTAGGGCAAGTTAGTGAGGATGATCCAATATGGCGTAAAACGGTAGTAGAGATGGGATATAACCATACCCTCAGCATTTCATATTCGGACGAGGAGTTCCCCAAACTCTTGTTCTTCCAGTTCTCCAGGCTCTTCTTGGTATCTGCCAGGGTCACCTTCAGACCTTCCACCTCCGTTTCCGCTTGGCGACAAGCACTCGAGGTGCTAGCCAATGTCGAGTCCTTGGAAGCTGACAACGCCTTGAGTTCGGCCACCTGCCGGTTCAAGCCCTCAATTGTGATGTTTTTCTCTGTGACTTGCTGCTGGGCTGCATAATTCTTATTCATCATCGAATTCAGTGCTTCCTTAGTCTCGCTAACTTGCTTTTCCATGTTGGCCAGCAGAGAACGGGTAGCTGCCTCGGATTCCTTCAGCTGCGACACGATGTCCGAAGTTTTCGCATTTTGCATGCGCAGGGTGCGGACCTCCACATCCCTGGCCTCTTTGCTCTTCATTGCAGCGAAATATTTCTGATCGGCCTTGGACTTCTCCGCGATGAGTCGGGCGACCTTCTCCTCCAAGGCACTGAAATCGGTGACTTTCTGTGATGCCAATGAAGAGTACTTCTTGCAGGCGACTTGCATCGAGGATAGTTCGGTATTAAGCATCGAAAACTGACGTTCCAGGTTGCTGAACTTAGCACGGAGTTCTTCGATCGGAATCTCATCGACGCTTTTTGATGTGCTCTTCTCCTTATCTAGTTCCATACGCAACCTTTGAACCTCGGACTCTAGCGCTGTAATCCGAGCCTGTCCAGCATCTGCAAGTTCTTGCACCTTTGTAGCCGCAGTTTTCTCCTGCTCTTGCGCAGCCTTCCGCATTTGCTGGTCCGCCAAAAGTTCGTCGCGCGCGTTGCGTATCCGTGCCAGATCTGTTTCTGCCCGCATTAATTGCATCTCCTTCTCAGCGATCGCATTTTGTGCCTCTTCATCAACCTGATTGCGGTAGGCGGTTCGCTCCGATCGGAATTTTGCCGCTTCTTCTCGCAGTTGCACGTTGGTCGCTTCTAAGTGGTTGATCCGAGTAACAACGTCATCGTACTGGGATTTCAATTGCTTGAACAAGTCCGTGTGCGCGTAGTCATCGTCAGTAAGTCGTGAATGCTGCCGTTTCACGTTAGCACTGTGCGAGTCTAGCTGACCCAACCGGGTGGGCGTACCTTGATGTTAAGATCCGTTATTTGAGTCAGTAATTTGGCATTTTCACTCTCCAATTTCTGAAGCTGTTCTTTCTGCTTTTCAGACACGGCGACAAGTTTGCTGTGGGCTTCTTCCAGGGCAGGACTCCGCTCGCCGCTAGGGGTCGCCCCGTTGGACGCGGAAGGCTCTTCCTTGGGTGCAGACGCACTATCGCCGCCGGGGCGTTGGGCTCCTAGAATGTACTGCTTCTCTAATTTGGCAACCGTCAAGCTCCGTGCACGATCGAGCTTTTTCTCGGCTACCATGTACCGTAAAGAGGCTTCTTCGAGACTTTCTTCGAGTTGCTGCTTTTCAGATAAGGCTTTCTCTAATTCTGCGATGGTGACTTTCTCCTCAGCAAGTTTTTTGGCGAGTTGAGTCTGTAACTCTGAAGCCTCGGGTGTGGTCCTGGGGGATTTGGACAGTAAGCTAGAGATGACCTGGCGGATATCCTCCGAACGAGACTTTAAGTGCTTCTCGAATTTGTCGACATCATCGAACAGCAGGCTGCTTTGGAAAGCCGGGCGTTCTGGGATTTTGTTTAGCGTTTCCATGTAAACCAACGGCCGGCATGAGTGGGACCCACCCTTGGCATCCTCTTCGGCAGCGCCCATGAGCAATTTGACCTCGTCGACCAACTGTCGACTCGTCAGACAATCTGCACCGGATGAGCAAAATACAACGATCTACTCACTTGCTTATACCAGGTATCTATGATACGGAGATGGTCATTGTGGTAGGCGGTGGCTTTGGACATCTCCTTCAGCTTGGCCTCGAGCGACACCTTCTCACGTTTGTACTCCTGCATCTGGCGCCATATTGCGTCCTTTTGGAAACGCTGCGACGAAAAGACGTCAGTATGTCACCTGGAGGGTAGCGGTAAAGTCGACTATGGCGTTCCAATCCTGTCTAGGGGAACCCTTGGGATAAGTTGGCACCCACGTGGGCAGATCGGGGACTTACCTCCAGGTCATCTTTCCAGGGCATATCAGCGTCGGGATGGGGTTTACTACCACCATTGACCGAAGTCGCTTGCTTTTTCAACGGTGGAGCAGAATCATTATGGTCGTAGGCAGCGGCTCTCTTCCGGTCTTCCATCATGACAAAACCGGAATCGGAAGATGCGACGGGGGATGCTTCGGCGGCCGGCATCAGTGGCTAAAGAGGCATACGTCAGAAGAGGCCGTCACCACTGAGCAGCAACGGGCCGAAAGCAGGGACCGTAACAATCTCCGACCGTGAAAGACGTGACGGGGGGTGGTTGTTGTGGAAGAAAAGGCGGGTGGAAGGGGGGAAGCGAGGAAGAGGTGGAAGAGGGGGATGGAGAGGGAATGAGTTGAGATAAGCAAAGACTCCCAGGCAGGAAGAAGCCAGGAGGATTTTCGGCCTGCCAGTTTAGCGTCCCTTCGCGCCTCCCACGTGACCGCGCCCACTTTCCCCAGGAGTTCAGGTTCAGGTTCAGCTCTTTCCGCCCGCCAATCTAGACTTTTTGCTGGTTTATTACTCTCTCGGTCCCTTCTTCTGCCTACTACCACCACCACCAACTACACCACCATCAGTTCATCATCATTGTTCGCCCCCTACTATCTCCCCTTGCTCATTTTATCCCTTCCTTACCTTTCGCCTCAGCGATGACCAGCATGCAGAATGAAGTCCTTTTCCAGTTCGGCCATTAGTACGTTCCTTTGTCCCCTCTTCCCGTGTCCCGTCCCGCCTTCTATACATTCAACTGCTAATCATGCCTCCTCTACAGATAAGTCGGGCAAGAAGTTTGCCCCGAAGGCGCCCGCTCGCCGTCCTCCAGCCTCCGCTCCCCCCAGAAGACCTAGTGTAGCCTCCCAGCCATCTGCCTCTCAGACTCCCCAACCTCCAACAGAGACAGCAACTCCCGAACCCGGTCCACCGGCCCCCGCTGTTCAGCCCTCCATTCCTACTGCACCTTCAATCCCAGAGGAGCCAGCAGTCTCTCCTAAGGAGAATGTCGCCGTACCTCAGTCTGCGACGGCCATTCCAATTCCCCGTCCCAAGCGCAAGGCTTCGGTGTCTGCAGTCTCCCCGGGAACCATAGAACAGATCTCAACCCCTCCTCAACCTACCCCGCCTACACCTACCGCGCCAGAACCCCAAGTCGAGCAGACACAGGCTACTGTGAGTGATACTGCGACTGCTGTCCCCGAGACACAGATATCCCTCCCCGATAATGACGCGACAGTGATTCGTCCATCCAAACGTCCCAAGACCACCGGAGAATCCACCGCCATTACCACCGATGCTGTCCCCACCGTTTCCGCCCCTTCTGCTGCTGTTCCTCATCCTGCTACGACTACGCGCACCACCGAATCAATTGCGATAGACGCCAATCCCCAACTCGTTACTCCTCCAGCGACGCAGGCGGCACTCACAGATAGCGAAGGGACTACAGATGCGCGCCCTAGAACTGACTCGCAGGTTACTATTGCCGAACAAGGTCGGAAGCCAACGAGGACTAGACGGAAATCAGTGAAGGATGTCAATGGGGACAATGCGACAAAGAAGAAGGAAAGGAAGCCTCGAACACGCAAGAAGCGCGAGCCAACCCCCGAAGGCGCCGAATCTGTCGAGATCGCCCCCGCAATGGTCAAGATGTCGGAGCTGTGCAAGGATTTGCGCACGGGTAAAATGTCCAAGCGTGAGACTGAGCTGCGCAACATGGAACAGGCGGAGCAGGAGCGTAAGCAAAAAGCGCAGCAGGAAGGCGATACCGAGGCACCGGTAAAAGAAAACGGGAACGACGCGTCTCCCGCCGGAGACCAGGATGAGAACCCAGACAATAAGGCCCAGGCTGGACCAGTGATGAGGATCGTTAACGGAGAGATTGTGCTCGACACTGCTTCATTGCAGGTGGATCGCCATGCCGACGCCGCGAGGAATGCTGGGGACCTCGAGGATGTTATCGAAAATTCGTTTACTCGCAAAATCAACCAGGCGACATATGGAAAACGCTCCAAGACCGAGTCCTGGGACGAGGAGATGACCGACCTTTTCTATCGGGGCTTGCGCATGTTTGGTACGGATTTCATGATGATCAGCAAGTTGTTCCCGGGCCGTTCCCGGCGCCAGATCAAGCTCAAGTTCAACAACGAAGAACGTCGTGACCCCCAGCGGATCAAAGAAACACTGTTGGGCCCGCGGGAGACCATTGACATTAGTACCTACTCGGAGATGACCAACACTGTCTATGACGACCCCAGGCTGATCCAACAAGAGTTGGACGAGGAGCGGAAGCGGATTGAGGCACAGCACGCTAAAGAGAAGGAAGCGCAGGAAGAGATGCTTCGTAATCCTGACGGTGCGGCTGGT